CTTCAGGCCGTAATTGACTGCAAAGGATTTGCAACCAAGTATTAAAAAGTGAAAGTTTGATTTATGATTATTATTCTGTCCCATTACTTTTGGTCCCTTAACAAGTGGGAGGCACATATGCAAACTTGTAATTCCTACACCGTTCACCTGATTTGGATGTAAATACCCTCAAATTAAAGCTGACAGTCTGCAGTTAAAGCAAATCTTGTTCGTTTCATTTCAAATCCATGTGTGGTGGTGTATAGAGCCAAAAATGTTAGAATTGTGTTGATGTCCCAATATTTATGGACCTGACTGTAGAAGCAATAAAAACAAAGGATCAGATCCTTAGGCACTCAGTCCAGAACAAAAAAAAGAATTATGGGCCTGTTTTGATATCAGTCTCTTGTAATTCTCTGCATGCCAGCACATAGTCCGGGAAAGGATGGGTCAGCACTATTCAGTTATAGGCAGGAAAAGTCCTACACCAGGCTTTATTTCATAAAGCAACCTTAACCACTTCATGTCCAGACACTTTTACCCCCTTCCTGTCCAGGCCAATGTTTAGCTTTCAGTGCTATCACACTTTGAATGACAATTGCGCGGTCATGCAAAACTGTACCCATATGAATTTTTTTGCATTTTTTAGAGACAGATAAAACTTTATTTTGGTGGTATTTATTCACCACTGGGATTTTTATTTTTTTGCTATATAAATGAAAAAGTCCCAAATTTTTGAAAAAAAAAAAGGTGTTTTTCTTATAAAAGTTTACAAATAAATAATCTTTCTTTGTAAATCTTGGCCAAAATGTATTCAGTTATCTTTCTATTAAAAAAAAAGAACCCAAATTAGTTTATAACCAATAAAAATATTTTTTTTACATTTTTACTTTATTTTTTCATATTATTATTTATGTTTTGTTTTTGTTTTTTTTTTTACATACTGTCACCCTAGCAGTACAGTGTCACCATAGTGATACTACTTGTGGGGAGTAATGAAGATTTTTTTTTTTTTTTACTCATTGCTTTTACACCCACAAAGGCTGTAAAAGCAATCATTTCTCCTTCTCTCTGGCTGCATTCCTGCAGCCATTGAGAAATAGTGTGAGAGCTGTGATTGGTCACAGCTTGTCACATGGTACAAGGCTGTTGTGAATAGCCTTGTACCATGTGATCTCTGTGATCATTCACAGATTTTACACGTAGTAAGCAATGATGTCAGAAGTGACATCTTGCTTACACCTATTCATGTGATTACTGATTGACTTATTGCTCTCAGCCTCCTCCAAATCTCCACAGTTTTTTTGCTGCTGTGATCCAACTTCCAGCTAGAGGTTGACTACATTCCTTCTTCATGGCCCTACTGTATGTAGGAACGTAGCCACCTTCTCTTGCTCACTCCTGAGATGGACTAAGGCCTATGGGATTTGTAGTATGCATAGAGAAGTGCCCATAACCACAACTAATTTACATCGCTAGTTCCAAAGAAATGGAAGTGAGGGGGAAAAGGAAAGGTTGGGGAACTTGCAAGGAGGCTGAAAAATACAGTAACAAAAACTTTTATGAAAAAAAAATTATAGGGCCACTAAATAACAGATGTGTATGGATTATTTTTGGAGATTAAGGATATTGTCTAGTTTCACTTTAATCTCTTCCTCGTCAGTCCTGTCATCCTTTTTACCACTTCAATACCGGGCACTTTTACCCCCTTCCTGCCCAGGCCAATTTTCAGCTTTCAGCACTCTCACACTTTGAATGACAATTGCGTGGTCATGCAACACTGTACCGAAACTAAAATGTTATCATTTTGTTCACACAACTAGAGCTTTTTTTGGTGGTATTTAATCACCATTGGGGTTTTTATTTTTTGCTAAATTAACAAAAAAAGACTGAAAATTTTGAAAATCCACGTTTTTCTTTGTTTCTGTTATAAAAGTTTGCAAATAAATAATTGTTCTTCATAAATTTAGGCCAAGATGTATTCTGCTACATTTCTTTGGTGAAAATAACCCAAATCAGTATTTTTTAATTAGTCTGTAGGAAAGTTATAGAATTCATAAACTATGTTATATATTTGAAAATTGATCAAACCTGAGGACTAATTTCATGAGGTCCAAGAATGTCAGAACAGTACAGATATCCCTCAAATGACCCCTTTTTGCAAAGTAGACAGTCCAAAGTATTTCATAAGAGGCATGGCGAGTTTTTAAATTTTTTGTCACTCTTTCCTAAAATTAAGAAATTAAAAAAATAATTTTCACAATTTTTTTTACATACTTTCACCAGTGCAGTACAAAATCATCATATAACTTGTGTGGCGGTGATCAGGGACACTGACTGGTGACAGTACGAAAAAAAAATTGATAATTTTTTTTAAATTTAATTTTATTTTTTAATTTTTCTTTGTTTTTTATTAAATTTTTTTCTCTTTTTTTTTTCATATTACACTATGACCAAAGTAGTATAATGTTACCATAGTAACATTGTACTACTTTGAGGAAGTAATCAGTGTTTTTTTGTTTTACACAATTTTCTTATAGCAAAGAATTTATTTGCTATAAGCAAGCATTTAACTGAATGAAATCAATTCATTCATTTTTTTTTGTTGTGATTAGCCGTGAATGGCCATGGCTAATCACATGACACAGATGGACTGTGATTGGCCCAGCCTGTGCATGTGATCACTGTGACCATTCACAACTAGACACACTTGTATACAATGGATGGCATGAAAGAAAGCCATCCATTGTATAAACTGTCATGTGACCAGCTGTGATTGGTCACAGCAGGTCACATGATACTGGCAACGGGGCCTGTACACAGATATGTCATTGGCCGTGTCCGAGGTACACAGCCGGTGACAGATCTCACCACAGCGTGGCCCTGCGGGCACACGCAAGGCACGATCCGGGAAGGACATCATATGACGCCCTACCAGAGGGACGAAAGGCTCGCCCAGCTGTCATTTTACTATAGGCCGGGTGGAAAGTAGTTAAATGGCTCTTTACACCCAGGGAGCTGGACAGACGTATCCATCAAGTGACTACTGTGATTGGCGCATAGTCACGGTGGTCGCATAGTCAGATGTCCCTCCCATCAGCTCCTGACCGTGATTAAGAACGAAGAGATGACTATGACAGCTCAGTCAGAACTTACGTAGTAAGTGCCCTCTCAGCACAGAAAGCTTGGTCATCCACGGGTACATACATGTGGCGTGTGGGCATTAAAGCCTGCCTTCTCTGTGATCACACATATGCGTTACTTGCGTGGTTAGAGGTTGAATCCTGTAGGGTTCCTTCCTGCACAGCAAGGGTTAAATGTGTGTTTCTTGCCCAGGATACCATTTAAATTCAGTTTTACTTAACGTATCGCCTGAGGCTCCTTCTCACTGGTCCCCCAAAGCCGATGTCGTCACGTACAATGCAGGACCAGAGGTTCTACATTATAAATGAGGACACCGAGTACCCCTCCACAAGTCAACATGTGCTGATGTTGACAGTGTGGGCTAAGAAAAGAAAAACTACTTTTTGTTGTTCCCTTAGACCAGTGGTCTCCAAACTGTGGCCCAGGGGCAAGGTGTGGGCCTTTGCTTGCTTTTATCTGGCCCTTGGGGCAATATTTTATCCTCAGACACCAACAATGGGGCATAATTCCGTCCACTGAAACCAATGAAGGGGCACAATTCCTCCCAATGACATTAACGATGGGGCACAGTTCCTCCCAATGCCGGGGTTAACAAATTCTCCCAATTATACCAATGATGGGGCATGATTCTTCCCACCCAATGACACCAAAGAGGGGGCTCAATTCCTCTCACAGACATCAAAGATAGGGTATTGTTTACTCCCACTGACGTCAGGGCATTTCCTACTTCCAATGGCCACAGTCCGGCCCCTCTAAAGTCTGAAGGACTGTAAACTGGCCCTTTGTTTGGGAAGTTTGGAGACCACTGCCTTAGTCAAAAAGGGGCATTTAACCCTTGCTGCCCAAGGGATTCCCACTGCAAGGGTAGTTTGTACATCTCCGTGGAGTTCAGCTTAAATTGCTTTGTAGTTTTTAGGACTGTCTGACAAGGGTGGCTGGATAACAAAACGAAACTGACAGAATCACAAATCTTTTGACAGAGGTAACACTGTTTTTACACATTTAATTTTTTTTTTTGTGTATTTAGCTATTTGTCTGGTGTTCATCTTTGGGAGCTCAACAAATGACCTACAGACTCCACAGCAGCAGAATCCAGCGTTTGCTTGCTCACTTCCTGTAATCATCACATTACTGCTGGTCCATTCAATGCTTCCAGAAGGGTTTCACAAGCTCGCTGCACTGACAGAATCTGACAGTACAGCATGTGTTGTCTGGGCTTCAGCAAAAAAAGATGAGGACTCCCTTTTTATATTTGATACAATCAATTCCAAATGTTTTATCACACGTGGCAGCCAGTTGATGGCTGCATAATGAAAGGGTTTGGATGGAGCAGACACAAGAGGGTGAGGGGCTGCCAGGAAATGTATAATCTATCTCTTAAAGTAAGGCTAACTGCCATATCTTCCCGGCCAATAGCTGGTAGACTGCCAAGTACAAAATGCTTTTCCTCAAATCCTGTGCGATGAGGTTTACTATATCCCCGTCTAAACATAAATGAATCATATTACTTTATATACCTGTACTCAGCATTTGTCAGCAAGTTCAGTCAGCCTATCAGGATAAAACCCGGATTAAATTTTCATGCTGGAGGCATCAAGAAATAATGTGACCTGCATGACTTCACAAAGCTTAAGAAATTAAACAGACTGCCATGCTATTAGTGTCTCCTTTTTGGCTTATTTTTAGAGGCAGTAATGTGGAATAACCAATAGCAGCTGTCCTGTTTAACCTCTCAGCAGCATAAAGCAGTCAGAAATATGAAAGATGGTTCTAGAAAGTTGCCATGGGTTGCTGCATTTTGCTGTATGATAAAATATACATATCGTAGCCATGGGTTTTCTTCTACGCTTCAGTGCTAACTATATGTGACAATGATAAAGAGAAACTATAGTCTCTGATGATTTTTTTAAAAAACACAAGAAAATACCATATTTTTTGCTCCATAAGACGCACCTGACCATAAGACGCACCTAGGTTTTAAAGGAGGAAAACAAGAAAAAAAATATTCTGAACCAATGGACTGCAGACTTAGTATAGGAAATGACCAGAGACTTCAGACATAGCACAGGAGCTGACCAGAGACTGCGGACACAGTACAGGAGATGACCAGAGACTGCGGACATATTACAGGAGATGACCAGAGACTGCAGACATAGTACAGGAGATGACCAGAGACTGCGGACACAGTACAGGAGATGACCAGAGACTGCGGACATATTACAGGAGATGACCAGAGACTGCAGACATAGTACAGGAGATGACCAGAGACTGCGGACACAGTACAGGAGATGACCAGAGACTGCGGACATATTACAGGAGATGACCAGAGACTGCAGACATAGTACAGGAGATGACCAGAGACTGCGGACACAGTACAGGAGATGACCAGGTGAAGCCGCAAGCTGTCACAGCCGGATGCCCACACTAAAGATGCCGGCGCCAGGGAGAGAAGACGGTGAGGACACCGATGGACCGAGGAATAGGTAGGCCAGAGGAGCACGTTCTGCTGCACAGAAGAGCTGAGTGTCCAGCCTGGTATTCCAACACGGCGGCGGAGGGAATACCGGGGGCCGGCCGCTCCGTATTCGCTCCATAAGATGCACTGACATTTTCCATTTTATGGGGGGAAAAAAATGCGTCTTATGGAGCTAAAAATACGGTAATCAATATACCATACCTCCTAACTTTCTGGAAAGAGGAACACATTAGTATAAGGTATGTACAGGAAAGGACACACCCCTGCAATGCAAGTTACGTGGACTACCATTTTTTTGTTACTTTTGTTATTTTTTTGTTGTTACTTATTTCATATAGCATGTAATTCAATGGATCGTTTGTTCATTTTTATACAGTTACTTGGGTGTAGTACTAAATATCTCCTGAGAAAGTCTCTACAGGCAAAACATGTTGAGATCACTGAAGCTTAGCAATCTACAGTAATTAGAAATAAGTCATTTTTAATTAGTAATATAAATAAGTTGGGGACACTTTAACCAATAATTGCTAATGAAAAATCACGCTTTTATTGCAGCGGTCTCCAAACAATGGGCCAGTTTATTGTCCTTCAGACTTTAGAGGGGCCGGCTTGTGGCCAACTGGAGTAGAAAATGTCCCGGGACCAGCATCAGTGAGAATACAGATTGTCTCAGGGTTGGTGGTCAGTAGGAGGAAGAGTAATGTCCTATCATTGGCATCAGTGGAAGGAATAGTGCCCCATCATTGGTATCAGTGGGAGGAATAGTGTCCCATCATTGGTATCAGTGGGAGGAATAGTGCCCCATCATTGGTATTAATGGGAGGAATAGTGCCCCATCATTGGTATCAGTGGGAGGAATAGTGCCTAATCATTGGTATCAGTGGGAGGTATAGTGCCCCATCATTGGTGTGAGTGGGAGGAAAAGTGCCCCATCATTGGTATCAGTGGGAGGAATAGTGACCCATCATTGGTATCAGTGGAAGGTATAGCACATTGTCTTTGGTCTCAGTGGGAGGAATAGTGCCCGATCATTGGTATTAATGGGAGGAATATTGCCCCATCATTGGAATCAGTGGAAGGTATAGCACATCGTCATTGGTCTCAGTGGGAGGAATAGTGCCCCATCATTGGTGTGAGTGGGAAGAATAGTGACCCATCACTGGTGTGAGCGGGAGGAATAGTGCCCCATCATTGGTATCAGTGGGAGGAATAGCGCCCCATCATTGGTATCAGTGGGAAGAATAGCACCCCACCATTGGCGTCAGTGGAAGGAATACTGCCCCGTCATTGGTATCAGTGGGAGGAATAGTGCCCCATCATTGATATCAGTGGAAGGAATAGCGCCCCATCATTGGTATCAGTGGGAAGAATAGCACCCCACCATTGGTCTCAGTGGAAGGAATAGCGCCCCATTGTTGGTGTCAGTGGGAGGAATAGTGCCTCATATCATTGGGAACAATAGTGCCTCAAGAGCGGGATAAAGGCTAGCAAAGGGCCACATCCGGCCATCAGGCCGTAGTTTGGAGACCCTTGTGACTGCAGAGCTCAATCTTAGTCTTCATGGGACTGTATATATTACATCACTTCCACTTTCAACGTGAAACATGTTATCATGCTCACACCTCCATTTTTTTGTCTAACCCCTGTATATGATCGGCACCCTAAAAAAGTTCCAGATCTTTGAGCAATTTTTCTTGGACTACCGTAAATTATTAGCAAAAAAATTACAGGTTAAACTCACAAGTGATTTTTTTTTGCCACTACTTTTTCTTTATACCAGCATTTCAATCACAGTATAACACTTCTAGTAACTAAATTGTACACTTCTTTATAGAGATCTATGCATCAGACCCAAAAAAGGGACAATTAAAGAGCAAAGAGGGACAGAGGGATTTGGTTCCGCAAGCAGGACAGTCCTTCTAAATCAGGAACAGTTGGGAGCTATGATATATGGTTAGCAAATATCCTTATCATATTGTACTGTTTTAACCACTTGCCCTCCAGAAGTTTTATCCCCCTTCCTGACCAGGCCATTTTTTGCATTACGGTACTGCGTTATTTTAACTGACAATTGCGCGGTCATGCAACGCTGCATGCATATTAAATTTACGTCCTTTTTGGCCCACGAATTGAGCTTTCTTTTCGTGGTATTTGATCGCCTCTGCGTTTTTTATTTTTTGTGCTATAAAAAAAAGAAAGACTGACAATATTTACTTTTTGCTATTAAACATGTCCAGTAAAAAAAATCAAATTTAGTCATAAATTTAGGCCAAAATGTATTCTGCTACTTGTCTTTGCTAAAAAAAAATCACAATACGTGTAAATTAATTGGGTTTACATGAACGTTATAACGTTTACAAATGGTGGTATATATACTGGGCTTTTTTGTTTAATTTTTACTAGTAATGGCGATGATCAGCGACTTATAGTCGGGGGACTGCGGCAGGCATTCTGACACTGGGGGGAACTGACTTGGTCTCACTGACATCCCCAGTGACACCAATACAGTGATCAGTGCTAATAAAAAGCACTGACACTGTACTAATGGCACTGGGCATGAAGGGGTTAACACGTGGGGCGATCAAAGGGTTAACTGTGTGCCATTTTACATCATGTTCTATGTTTGTGCTTCACTGTAAGCTCACTGCTTTGCATGGCTGCAAAGCAGTGTGCAGGAGCTGACAGGGAGAACTGTTTTGTTTACTACCAGTTCTCCTCCCCATCTGGAATCCTCAGCAATCACCAGGTGCCAGCAAGTAATCACCCGGAAATGCAAAAAATCACATATATATACGTAATGTATTTGCGCACAGCTGCCACCCTTAGAAGTATTTCTGCTATGGGGTGGAGCTAAAGCAGTTAAAGTGATTGTTAGGGATACCATTTTTTTTTTTAAATAACATGCATAAAAGGCATGGTAAAAAAGGTAAAAAAAAGTCTGTCTTTAGAACCACTTTAAAACTTTGTTTATAAATACTGTATGTATATAATTAATAATTATATGTACATGGGCCAGCCATTTTGTTTTCCTTTTTTTTTTAGTTGCTCCTTGCTTTGTAGTGCCGTTTACTGTTCCTCTCTTTCTGTGCAGCTCTCAGGGCTGAGATTGAGCCACTAAAAGCAATGCTGATATTTTATCTGGAGAGGTATGGATTATGGAAAAACAGCTGCTACTGTAGTAAAAAATATACTATTGTGCCTGTTTTATAGAATGAAAATAAGAAACCTCAAGTATAAAAAACTAAAATTAAATAAAAAGGTTAAGCTAGTGGATCAAACTTTGTGCTTGGTGCTTAATGTCGTCTCACAATCTGTGAACTACTGAAAATGTCTCACATTAGCTCAAATTATACTAATTATCTTTTTGCTACTTAATTTTTCAGTCAAGCACAGCAATTGAAGGAAAGAATAATAATCATTGATCATTCCATCTCTACTTTCCCTTCAGAAAATCCTATCTCCACTTTTTTATCTTAGATAAAAAGTATGGGTGCCATATCTAGCATCATTTGACTTTTTGCTTGCCATAGATAGGCCCTTGCCAACACTAAAGCCATTTATATATTTCTGATATGGCTTGTAATCAGAATCCCAAAGTATCCCACGTCCCTGAATTTACGCTGTCTACCAAGCATTTCCCCCCAGGACTTGTTCATAATGTTTGCAACTTTTTCTGTTTACAAAAATGTTTCATAGAATACCTTCCTCCCATTTTGATGTAATTTTTCTCTTCCAAATAACTTAATAAACTTTTTCCTCTCAACTAGTTTTTGGGTAGACAGAAGAAAAGGTCCTGCTGTTGAGCACAGGGCAGCAAACTCCCACACTGCCCAAACACAAGCTTGGAGGCACAACAAACATGTCAGGGACAACAAATCTGATCAAAAATGGATATGACATGCAAGTGATCATATTTTTATTATACCAATGAGCCTACAGTACATATAATATAAAGTGGTACTGTGGTAAAATGGATACATTCCACACTAGATCATCTGAAGGTAAACAACCAAATACGCAGCTGAAATACAGTGTGTGTATATATATATATATATATATATATATATGAATATAAAAAATATATACTGTTTGTGAAACACTTCTACTCCTAAATTGATTTGTATTTCTTCTCAAATCAGAAGAAAAATTCTGTACGTGGAACGATCGATCAATTTTCATGGCTGGAGGAGAGTATATCCACAAGTAAGTGTGCCACAATGTGCAAGTATGCTGTGCAACTGACCTTGAATTACCCTCTGAAGATTGGGCTTCAGTCCACGTTGGGGTGTGATGAGCCCAGGTTCCAGCCGAGACTCTGACTGCTCTTCCTCTTTTCGTTCCTTTCATACTCAATGCTCTAGTACTCATTTCCGCCCTCATATCCCTCATGCCCTACTTGATACTTCCCTTTCTCCTCCAAACTCTCTAACTTGACCCTTCCTAATTAATCCCATCTTTACTACCCTGTCCTGTTAAACCTAAACACTTCTAGTTCATATCCACATGTATACCCAATTTTCGAAATATCTGGAATATATAGACGTTTTTCTTGTTCATATACTTTAACTTTGTAACAAAAAACAAGATCATTGTAAGTCTGCATGATACTGGACAGGGATACAGATGAGTCTCCAACAGGTCTGCAGACGCTCAATATTTACAGTTTAGATATTTCTCCTACAATGTAAGATTCTGTTAAGGAATATCGCTGTAAGGTACATTTGTATTGAGATTGCACTGCTATAAACATGACTAGATCACCAGTTCTAAGCTAAGATTCGTATACATCCTTGCTATATTCTTTAAACAAAGACTCTATAAAACCACGTATACTGTAAAAGAATGCTGTACAACAGGGGTGTCAAACTCCATTTCATCGCAGGGCTGTATCAGCATTATGGTTTCCCTCAAAGGGCCAATTGTATCTGTAAAACTAGATGTTCAGAGCACCCCACCCCCCATTACATCAGATGTCAAGAAACCCACACCCTCCGGGCAGAGCTGGAAAGCAGAAAGTGCAGGATTTGGAGGAGGACCAGAGGAGGAGTGGAGTC